CACATAAAGTCCATTGTTTGAATTTCTCGATATCAAACTTGCCAATAAAAGCTAATCCCATTTTGGTTCTGATGATAGCGAGTGATAGAGTGATGTGGTAAGTTGGTTGCAGTGGTGTCATGTTAAAGTGGGAATTCAGCAAGTCCTGACCAATGACCATGTCAATTTGATACTGTGAACTGGAAGGGGTGAAAATTAAAAAAGGAAACATTTTAAAGTAAACAATTGACATTACTTTGGCTCTTCTTCTGACCACATAGTTCTTCCCAGTTTGCCTGCCGACTGAATCATCGGCAGTCCTAGTGAAGCCATTTTCTCCGCCACTAAATCAACCGGCAAAGACGTATAAAGTTGAGGAAAGTCATCAACGGTAATTGAAGTTGTCATTGTCACTGATTGGTCTTCCACTGACCGCACTGTCAGTTTGTCTATTTTGCGGTACAGCATTGCACTTCGCTTCCAAAACGTCCAGTTTATTTTACATGGCCAAATGTACTGACAAGTGGCACCGTTGGCAGTCAGCAAAGTAGCCAGTCGGCTAGACAAGGACGAAAATTCAGCTCCAGAGTCGAGAAGGGCTCGACATGTGACGGTAAAGCCCGACGAAGGTATGGTCACCTGAAGGAGCACATTCGGTACAGTGATGAATGTTTGCCGTGGGGTAAAGGTTGGAGTGTACGTTAGATCAGTGGGCGCAAATACAAAAGCTGCAAATCGGCGCAAAATGTCGGTGATTTGGTCAGGTTTGATGCAGAGAAAGGTGAAGAGAGCAAATAACCGATTTGTCCATAGTGATACGGTTGAGGATGAGAAGGAGGAGGAGGATGAATCGAGCGTAGAAGATACTGCTGAAAACATGATTCGATAAAGGGAAATCAAAGGACGAATGAGGATGAAGAAGAAGGTTCGAGCTGAACCAGCACTGTCTGCCATCAATGCAGCTGAACATTTGCTCGCTCAGAAGTCTACACTCATTTGTTGCTTTTAGCAGTTTGATATGTGTTTTCTCGTTTTTAGTCTCTAGTCCCTGCCATAAAACACTACAAGTTGCACTGAGAAAAGGGACCCCTGTGTGGAGGAGCTTACCCCACACAGGCTTATTATATCCCATTGGAAAACTTGTAACTTAGGGGGCCTTAAACAGGAATTACCACCCATAGTCAAATTTCACTGTTGTGATCAGCGTTAGCAAAGCTACACAAACGTAAGCTTGATCATTTTCCCGGTTTTTGCTTCTTTTGAAATTGGTCCTTTTGTACACTACCACAATTTCCCACCACAATTATTTGGCGCTACAGTCGGTTTGTTTTTCTAATTTCTTCTCGTCTGCAGTTGAAGATCAAAGCTATTTTTAGCGCGGACACTGTGATATCTTCTGATTGATCAATATACAACTCCTCCAACAACTTTTCTCTTATCATTAGGCAAAAACTGAGAGAAGGAGAGTGCGCTTGAATCAGAGAAGAAGTAATCAACTTTCAGTATGCTTCAGGCAGTGTCATACAACAGCGTCTTCAAACGGTGTCTACAATGTCAACTTTGGGAACTCTCCTAGCCGTCACCTCCTTTAACCGCCTCTTTGAGGACCGGCACTCTCCGATGCGGGAGATGGGTCGCCGTTTTGGTCTCCGCCTGGCCAGCAGTCTAGCTGCTGCTGCTAGAACTACGGATCACTTTGACGTGGTCATCGTCGGCGGTGGCATCGTCGGCACGGCCACCGCTCGACAGCTTTCGATAAAGCAGGTTTGCCACGCAGTGGGAGTGTCACCGATCACTAATTCATGTAACTTTCTTTCTTTTATCACAGTAAACCCCAGCTGAAGATGGCCATCCTCGAGAAGGAGGCCGCCCTCGGCCAGCACCAGACGGGCCACAACTCGGGCGTCATCCACGCCGGCATCTACTACAAGCCCGGTTCGCTGAAGGCTCGCCTCTGCGTGGAGGGCTCTGCCCTTGCCTACGAGTACCTCGACGCGAAGGCCTTGCCCTACAAACGTTGCGGTAAGCTGATCGTCGCCACCGACGCCACTGAGGTCGCCCGTCTTGATGAGCTTTGGAAGCGAGCCCTGCAAAACCGCTGTCCCGGGGTGCAACTTCTGGAATCCGCCGAAGCGATTGCCGCCATCGAGCCCAATTGCGTTGGCCTGAAGGCCATTTGGTCGCCCAACACTGGCATCGTCGACTGGGGCCGTGTTAATCAGTCCTACGCAGAGGACTTTGCCCGCGGTGGTGGCCAGGTTTTGACCAGCTTTGAGGTGGCCAAGTTTGCCACTTCTTTGGAAACATTGGAAAAACAGCAGAACGACTATCCGATTGTCATCACCGGAGCAGACGGCCGCGTGGTGCGGGCAAAGTACGTAATCACTGCTGCCGGACTGCACTCGGACAAGGTCGCCAAGCTGACGAACGGGAAAAAGGTGCCCAAAATTGGTAAGTTGTTGTGATGATGTTGTTTGATTGTTCAAAGTGTAAACAAACGCCTTTCCTCCTAAATCAGTGCCCTTTCGTGGCGAGTACCTGGTTTTAAAAGCGGCAAAGTCGGACATGGTCAAGACGAACATTTATCCGGTGCCTGATCCGCGCTTTCCTTTTCTGGGCGTTCACTTTACACCGAGAATGGACGGCAGCATTTGGCTAGGTCCGAACGCTGTGCTGGCCTTCAAGCGAGAGGGCTACACCTACTGGGACCTCAGTCCTAGTGAGCTTTTTGAGTCGCTCTTCTTTAGTGGTTTTAGAAAATTGGGTAAAAGATTTGTTTGATCTCGACTCTTTGTTTTTGTTTTGACACAGCCGTTTCTCTATTCCACAGCTTTCAAGTACTTCTCCGCCGGCGTGGACGAGTTCCGCCGGTCGCTGTCGGCGGGTGCCCAGCTGAAGCAGCTCCAGCGCTTCGTCCCCTCCATCACTCTCGATGACATTGACCTGACGAAGAGGGTGGCCGGCGTGCGGGCGCAGGCATTGGACGCGGAGGGCAACCTGGTGGACGACTTTGTCTTTGAGACGAACGAGGAAGCGGTGAAACGAGTGCTGCACGTCCGAAACGCCCCCAGTCCGGGCGCCACCAGCTCACTGGCCATCGCAAAGGTGGTGGCCGAGAAGGCGCAGACCGCCTTTGGTCTTTGAAAGCGTGATTTACTTTGTGATCTTTCTTTTGCGTTTTTAAAATCGCAGTCAAAATAAATTAAAGGAAACTTCCCGAGAGGCCTACGAGTCATCGGTGAGCAGAGTGTCGGCAAGCGTACTGTCGTTTTGGAAGGGAGCACTCACTGCACTGCAGCAGCATTGTTTTGGCTTGCGAAACTCTCGCTCCGTTGCTTTTGATACTTGTCTCATCTTGAAGAATCTGAAACCGGGTATTAACCAGTTGCCAATAGATAACGCAACACATCATAATGGCCACCGTGAAGAAGGCGAATCCCTCCATACCCGACGACCTCTCTAATGTGGAGTTTGAGACGTCCGAAGACATTGAGGTGATTCCCAGCTTTGACGCGCTTAACCTCAATGAACATCTGCTTCGCGGTATTTACGCCTACGGTAAGTGACTTCTTGGTGATTCGCCTTTGATCATTATCATCATCATCATCAACCGTTTGTACAGGTTTCGAGAAGCCCTCCGCCATCCAGCAGCGAGCCATTCGGCCGATCATCAAGGGTCGCGATGTGATCGCCCAGGCGCAATCGGGTACCGGCAAGACGGCCACCTTCTCCATCGGCGTCCTCCAGTCGATTGACACGCAGATTCGCGAGACGCAGGCGCTCATTCTCAGTCCGACGCGCGAGCTGGCGCTCCAGCAGCAGAAGGTGATTCTCGCGCTGGGCGAGTACATGAACGTGCAGTGTCACTCGTGCATCGGCGGCCGGGCGCTCGGCGAGGACATTCGCAAGCTCGACTACGGCCAGCACGTGGTGGCGGGCACGCCGGGCCGCGTCTTTGACATGATCCGCCGGCGAAATCTCCGGACCCGATCCATCAAGATGCTGGTGCTGGACGAGGCCGA